TTTGAATATCTGTACATGGTTAGTAGAAATGCAAAAAGCTTGGCCTCTTGGGAAGAGAGTCTGGCAGGTTTTCTAAAGTTAAAGACGGAGTTAACATTTGACCTAGCAATTTCTCTCCGAGGTATATATACAGAGGAATGAAAGCATGCTTACAAATATGTGCGTGAGCTTGTAGGTTGGGCACAAAACAACTAGTATATAAATGCTCACAGTAACAATACTCACAGTAACTTCAAAATGGAATTAACCCAAATACTTATCACCAAATGAAAGGATAAAGAAAATGTGGTATATCTACACAGTGGAATATTGTTGAGCCATAAGAAGGAATAAAGGATTGATACATATTACAACATATAAATCTCAGAAGCATGATGGTAAACGAAGAGAAACCAGCCACAAAGGCACACCTGTTGTAAGGTTCCATTTATACGAACTGTCAGAATAGGCAAATCCCCTGAAATAGAAAGAGGATAATTGTTGGACGGGGCCTGGGGCAAGTGGGCAACTGAGAGAGATGGGTAATGAGTTTGGGATTCCTTCCAGGAGAGGGAAAAATATTCTAAGTAGACAGCAGTGCTTTGCTACTCCATCCCATGGAATGTGTTAAAGAATGATACATTGCATGTAGAGCTTGGCCATGCACATCCATGAAATAAATTAAAGAGTCCACTTAGCTGAAACAAGAAACAAGAAAAAGGAAGCCTTAATGCCCAGTATGTCCTATTCTTAACACAAGCCACTCATTATCGCTTCCACCACATTCAATTAGAAGTCACTATGTCCACTCCACAGTGGAAAGGATGAACTAGTCTCTACTTTTAAAAATGTATGTGTGTATGTGTGTGGGCAGGCACACGTGGGAACAGGTGCCTGTAGAAGCCAGAAGGTGGGGATCCCCTGGAGCTGGAGTCACATGGGACTGTGAGCTGCCCTGATGTGGGTGCTGGAAATGGAACTCAGATCCTCTGTAAGAGCAGTATGTGCTCTTAACCACCCAGTTGTCTCTCCAATTCTAGTCTCCATTTCTAGATAGGAGAGAACATCAAAGACCTTGTAGACAAACATTAAGCCAGCCACAGTGATGCCCTGGGTCTAACTGCCCACATGTCAACCACTTACTGCTTGTGCAGCCTGGATGTTCAACTTTTAGCCTGAACTTGCCTTTGGATTCAAAGTAGTAACTATTCTATGGTGTTTCCATCAGGAGTGAGCACATTGAGAAGCATCCAGTGAAGTTCTGAATATCACGCAAATATCCGGCCAGTGTTGTCTGCCTTCTCCTATGGAGCTCTGAGCACTGGGGTGTCATGTTGTGGCCTGTGGGATGTTGGATCTGAGCCCGGCAGGACTGATGGCTTTGCTAGCAATGTGGTCCGGTCAAGGTTGGATGTTGATGGTGGTAGATCAGAGATTGTAATTCACTGGCTTTCCAGGAAGAACTGAGAATCCCTTCATAATGACCCACAGGAACTGAACTCACCGGGAAACCTGGAAGCTAGTTTATGAGTTTGTGCTGAGTAGACTGGAAGACTCCTCTGGCTAGGGCAGTGTTTCCTGAAAGAAAAGCCGCTTGGGACATCACATCAGCACCAGATTTCACAGGAAGCAGAGTCACACAAAGCAGTGACCTAATCACAAGTCTTATCTCCACTCAGTAGCCCTGCTGCTTATGTCTTTAGCTCTCCTGCTGGGGAACTAGCCCTCCTACAACAGAAAGGAACTGGATGAGCCCGAAGGGTTCAATCCAGCAGACACTGGAACTCTCCAGGGTTAAGGACAGGAGCTGTGTGTCTCCCAGGCCCTGACACCACCTGTGGTTTATCAGAGGACAGAAAGCAGAGCTGGTTAACATGCCTCATTCCCCCTGAGTCTGGACCAGGGCTCCTTTGTGGACCAGGTGGCTGACATAGGCAGAGAACTAGGAGCTGGCAAGGCTCCTTCCAACCATCCTCTTGCTCACAGACAGTCCTGACAACTGGAGGGCGAATCTGTAAATGTCAGGAGTTGGTTGGGTCTGTGTACACCCAGCCCCTGGTGTACACTGATTTCATCCTTTGCTGTGTGATATTTTGTTGGTGTTCTGACGAATAAAGCTTGTCTGGAGATCAGAGGGTGGAGTTAACCATAGAGGGCAGGCAGGCAGTGGTGGCCCACACCTTTAATCCCAGCACTCTCGAGGCTCACACCTTTAATCCTGGCACAATCAGGAGGTGGAGACAGGAATATAAGGCAGGTAGAGACAGGATCTCAGCCCCCCTTTTCCATCGGAGGATTCGTAGAGGTATGAAGTCTCTGGTGGCTGCTACTCTGCTTCTCTAATCTTTCAGGTTATCACCCCGATATTTGACTCCTGGCTTTTATTGATAAGACTAATTAGAATCTTGCATCAATCCTTCCTGTGGCTTTTAAAATGTCATAGTTCTCTCTCTCTCCCTCTCTCTCTCTCTCTCTCTCTCTCTCTCTCTCTCTCTCTCTCTCTCTCT